CCATTCAGCAAAAAAAGATACACGAGCATGAGAGGAGGATACAAAGACTTCATACTCGTAACTTATTCGTCTCATCAAGTGAAATGGTGTGTGTCATATGGAGGGGAAAGGGATACGCACACACGTGTATGTGTGTGTGTGTGTGTATGTGTGTGGGTACATATACATAGCTTATACTCTTCTTCTTTTCTTTATCCTTTTTATCTTTTTTCCTGGAGCCACCATTCACACCACAATTTTTCTTCCTGTTAAAAAAAGAATTTCTTCTTCATCTTCCACTATTTCTTTACCTTTCTTCTTACCTTCCCCTAATAAGAATAAACAAATACATTACCTCAATAATTTTCTACCAGCAGCGAACCACCACTAATGGCAGAGAGTCGTCTATCTTTTTAGGCCAGCTTTACGCAGCTATTGGCCATTTATAAGTTACAAAAACTTTAGATGGTAATACAAATTAGTGTAAAGAATGTATTAATTTAATTACGTACAGAATTTTGCTTTGACAATTTATGAATTATTTAGTTTGAAGTATAAGTTAAAGTTAATGAATGGAATTTATCAATTTAATTAATTTAGAACTTTGCTTCAGCAAACTAGGAATTCATTAGTTCCATAAGTAGTTCTAGTGTAGGAAATGTTTTAGTTTAGTCAATCTAAACTTTGTTAGTTTAAATTACGAGTTTGTGGAATAAATGGAAATTTATTACAATAATGACTTTTAGAATGTATATGTAGGGATTATTGATAGTACGTAGTTGATTTTATAGAAATTTAATCATTAGTATTTGGATTATTGATGATATATTTATATCAATTTGTATCTTTTAATTAACATAATGACTTTTGATTTATTGAAACTTGTTGGTTTTCCGTAGGTTATGGTGGGTATGTATGATATATGGTACATGCTGGTTATATTGTCTCGTTAATTTATGAATAAATACATTCTTTAGTAGGATAATTACTTACTTAAATGAAATTTATGAAAAACTCAATAGAATTAAACATATTTATAAACGTAAAGAATAATCGAGGATCGAGTGTGTACTGTGTTAATAAAAAAAAATTTAGAATCAGGTGAATATATAATTGATATGATAGAAAAAAAAAAAGATAATCACACGAATATGCCATCCATCTTTAGAAATAAGTGAAACAAAGGCCAAGTGTGCCATATATGTTAGGATGGAAAAGATATGAGTGTCAATTGCGCTCGTACTTATTATAATTAAAAAACGATGGTTAAAGCAGTCATACATTTACGAAATATACATACAAGTATTTTACATTGGTTAATTTGTGGCAATCTGAACTCTCATTCAGAGTTCTGACCTTACGCACACTACATCATGATAAAATAATTTATAGAAATACTTCGCGCAATAAATTTTAAAATAATAAAAGTACATTCATTATATATTTAGCTCAAAATATCTAGTATCCATGAAATATATCTAACCTCTAAAATAAACACTCATAAAAAGAAATATTTAACATTAAGTACTATTCGAATTAAAATAAAATTTGAACAATCTTCTAACAAGTCCTTCACTGTTCAGGAGCGGGATTATGGGTTTTCCAATTTGGAAGAGATGAATAATAAATAGAGTGAATTTACTATACTCAAAAAATATGTAAGTAACCAATAAATAATAGAATAATCTGTCTAAGTTGGTAGAAAATATAAAATTACCGACGGAGATTGTTCAAAACACATTTCTCTTTAATTTAGAAAATATGTGATATTTACACCTTAACTAATTGACCGAA